ATTTCAACAACGAATTTCAGTATCTAGTGCTGCCGATCCCAGTTGATGCACTAGTTCACTAGAGCGTATATACACAAACAGTGATTATTGAAGAAAATTTAAAAGACGCCACAAGAAAAGGGCTCTGGAGATAACAATATAACAGAGTTGAAATCACAGATTTGGTGCAGCATTTAATCATAATTAAACTGGCCAAAGCAATATTCCATAATGTATGTTATAACATCTGTTCTATGTTATGACAATATGTTCGTGCCGAAGGAGTTTTGAAGGGGACAGAAACTCGCCTAACTCTCTTCTGGTGCTTGGTAGGTTACATGTGCGTAGTGTTTTGCAGCATACATCACTCAATTAAGATTACAAGTAGCTCAGCAGTGCAGGAGAGAAGAGAAGGTGAGTTCTGGCTGATCATAAATATGCATGAAGAGTGCCCATATCTATGGGAGTGCAGACAGGGCTAGGCTCAGGGGTTATATTCTCATATTTTGAATCCAACAGGCCTACCATCTCTTTCAGTAGTTCTCTAAAAGTATCGGACTTACCGTGGGAATGAAATGCTATTTCTGCAGTGAGAAGCAGCAAGATGAGTATTTCATGGTCTCTGCTGCCATCTATTGACATTTATTGGTACTAACAATTCTTGTAGGGATTCTCTTCATAACCGGAAACAGCACTTATGTACTATACTGCTGCAGGTACTTCAGAAGCTTGCTTCCTGCAACAAGCCTATCTGCAACTTTTCCGTATTTGATTATGCACTGGGGATTATTGCCAAGCCTTGTGCGGGTATGAAAGAGCAACGAAGGAATTCCATGAATTGTTATGGGCTGTGGATATATCCAGTTCTGCTTACTAATTAAAAAAAATAAAAATAAAAATAAAAATTCTACGCTTTGTGGAAAGCAGCATCTTCTCTTGCAATCTTATGTGTCTTAGGAAAAAAACACCCTTGTTTCACAGCTTTGGTGCTCTCTTGTCCTTGATATGCTTTGTGAATTAACATGACAGTTTTCTCATGACAGCTCTCTCCCACGATCACTGCAGCGAACATCTCCTGCATGCAACACAGGAATCTTCTTGAATTTCATTTCTGTATGTGCAGATTTCCAGAAGAGTGCAATGGAACCAGCAACAGGTTTTGCAAGACTGGGACTTATTTATTTTGTTGATCTGTATTCCAATACTATTATTGTGTAAATAAATATGAAGCTTGAATTTTTGCCAAGTTTTGAACTTTGAATGGACTTTGTCCTGTTTAAAGAAAGAATGTTCCTGAGCCTTTTCAGCATCACCGGCTTGCCTGGGTGGCATTAGCTGAAGAGTCATTGTCCATTGACAATCGTATTTACCCAAGGCTTTGGGTAACAGAACTGCACCCACAGCACTGTTGCTGCTGCTGCTGCTGCTGCTGCTGCCGTGGGCTGTAACTGTCCTTTGCTGGGTTTTTCCTTGTTACCTGGACTTGAAGCACTGAAGATGACTCATTAGTCCTGAATAAATTACAGCCATTACCAAAATCAACATGTAGAACAATATTAACAGATAATTATCACCCAGCTACTCATCTGGAACTTGGTTTAGTTTCTCACTTCAGAGAAATCACAAGTACGGGTTCATCAGTTTTACAAGTACTTTAAATATCAAAGTGACAATGAGCACTGGAAGTGAATTGCAGAGAGTTAATTTGCTTCTAATTCAGCTTCTAATTACTGGAGGTGGGCTTGGCAGCCAAAGAGCCAAGCCTGTTCCTAGCTATACTAGAAAACTTGCACTTAGCCAGCTGGGCCTTGCCTGGAACTTGCCACTCATTTACTCCTAAGACACAGAAACATCGTGTTGAATGCTAAACTTGAGTACAGTTTATTCCAGCTATCCCCAGAAATCTCTTCTTTTTACGCTTTTATTTGCTTTTTATTTTTACAAAAGAAAAAGAAAAAAAAAAAAGAAAAAAAAGCCTGAGGAAAAGAGAGAGGTTTTTTTTTTTTTTTTTCAGAATCCTTCCTGCAGTAAAGACTTAGGGGAAGTTGCAGCTGTGCTGCACAGCTCTCTGATCAATGGAAAGAAGATGCCTGCATGTTTTATGTTCCTGATTTCCTAGAACTTCTCAAAAATGTAATTAACATACGGTAATGAAACACTGCTTGGTAACTGGGTGTCTGTGCTCTACATTCATATTCCTGTGGCTCCTGACAAGTGTCTGTCAAAATGAGGAAGGAAGAAGAGCATCTTGTACAGATGCAGTCTTGGCACAAGTTTTCCCTAATGATTTCGTAGTGCTTTGCATATGGCTGCAGACTAGCACTGTAGGCCAACTTTGAATACACAACATAAAGTTAATGTAGGTGCCCTGCTCACAAAGAAGCAAAACTGTTTCTGACAGAATGGCAATGTCCTGCACAGACAGTGCGACATCTTTTATGCCCTATTGCCCGATGCTGATCTCTTCCTCCCCTGGGTCCTCATTGCCTGAGTGCTTCAGGTTCTCAAATCTTCCCAACGCTCAAGTAAACACACCAAACCAGGTACACACAAACTGTTGCTAGCTAAACATGGATTGCTAATTCTTTAACTTGCAACACATACTCACTCAGCACCCAGCCGTTATGTCTGGACATGTTGTCCTTGGAAAGAGATAAGTTTGGAAGGACGACAGAAGAGAGTATCCTGATGCCCGCCTGCTGCATCCCAGCCTGCCCACACACTGAGCCAATCCGGCCTTGTCCAGAGGCCCCGCCTGCCTTAATAATTGTTAGGTCTGATTTTCTTTTGCTGAGGGTCTCTTGTCCAAACACAACAGCCTTACAACACGCTTTCTAGTCCACAATAATATAGCCATATTAGTCACAACATTTAAAAACTAATTCATGCTGCAAAACTGCAATAATCACATAATCCAGTGTACAAACAACGTAAAGATGTTATAATTAAGAAAAAAAAACAGAGAGTTTGACTAAGCTGGTTATAACACCAAATAGAGTGCTCAGCCATGTCCTGGGTGCACTGCAAAACTCCAGAGGAGGGATCCCCAGAAGAGATCCTTTTCTTCTAGCAGTCAGCTCTTAAATGGGCCTAGGAGAGGTGCAGCCAGGCTCCAACCGTTCCGCAGCACAGCTGAATTCCCTTCACCTGTGCTCCTGTGGCTGACTCATGGCTTGCCTCAGGTGATCAATCACAGGTTCAGGCCGTGATTCAGCAGTTCCCATATATCCAGCAGCTGTATTTCCAAAAGACATTCCTAAAACACGTGGTAGTTCTACTTTTTCACATCAGCTATTTCTAAGGACAAGTTACAAAGTACAAACACGTTGTGCTCTACCTCTTCAGATCAGTTCCCCCTTTTCAATCTCTAATGCAGAAACAACATTCCATTCCCTCAATTCCCCCCATCTGTTCCCCTTTTCTTCTTTTTTCAAGGTTGATTTCTGCAATTCTTTTCTATGGTGTGATTTCATAGACATCTTCGTCTTCTTCCCTTTCTTCATTCCTCATCTCCTCTAACACCATCATTTTATACATTTTTTATGGTGGTGGTGTGGGAATCAAATGTTGTTTCTACATTAGAATTGGATAATATTTTTATTTCATGATCTCCGCTATCATAGTTCTTTTTGGAAGTCCTTCTACTTACCTTGGGGAAGATCTCTGATAGTTTACATCACTTATCCTCTAGATGAACCTTCCCAGGAACGCACACTCTGTACAGAGGTGTACAGATGTATATTTTGTCATACACACTGCAAGAATATCCTGCACGAGATAACCAGAGAACAGCCATGGCCTGCCCATATCGGAAGGCCTGGCATTATCCCCCAGTGCTCTTTGTTTAAGGAAGACTTTAAAGGAAATCACCATGTCAATGCGGCAAGGAGAGCACCAAGACATCACAGAATTGTAGGGGTTGGAAGGGATCTCCACAGATCATCGAGTCCAACCCCCTGAAAAAGCAGGTTCCCTACAACAGGTCACACAGGTTGGCATCCAGGCAGGTCTTGAACGTCTCCAGAGAAGGAGACTCCACCACCTCCCTGGGCAGCCTGTTCCAGTGCTCCGTCACCTCAGTGTAAAGAAGTTCTTACGCACAATTGTGCGGAACTTCCTATGCTGCAGTTTCCGGCCATTTCCCCTTGTCCTGTCTCCACTCACCACTGAAAAGAGTCCGGCCTCACCATTCTGCCCCCCACACCTGAGATATTTATAGACCTGGATCAGGTCCCCTCTCAGTCTTCTTTTCTCAAGGCTGAACAAACCCAGTTCACTCAGCCTTTCCTCATAGGAGAGATGCTGCGGGCCCCTCACCATCTTTGTGGCTCTCCGCTGGACTCTTTCCAAGAGATCCCTGTCTGTTTTGTACTGGGGAGCCCAGAACTGGACGCAGTACTCCAGGTGAGGCCTCACCAAGGCAGAGTCTTCTTCCTAACATCCAACGGGGACCTCCCCTGGTGCAACTTGAGGCCGTTCCCCCTCATCCCATCATTGTTACCTGGGAGAAGAGGCCGACCCCCACCTTGCTACAGCCTCCTTTCGGGGAGTTATGCGGCATGGTGAGACCTCCCCTGAGCCTCCTCCAGACTGAGCAACCACAATTCACTCTGCCTCTCCTCGTGGAACTTCTGTTCCAGACCCCTTCCTGCCCCATTTTCCTGACACACTGCAGGGCCTCCAAAACTGCTGCCCTGGGCTTCAGGAGGGTAGGCTTTGAATTACTCAGGATACTGGTAGGGAGGGTCCCTTGGGATTCAGACCTGACAAGCAAAGGGGTCCAGGAAGGCTGGTTGCTCCTCAAGAA